ACTGGAAAGTCCGTAGTGGGAGCTTGAATTAGTAAGAGTTCTCCAGAGAAACAGAACCAATATAATGTGTGTATCTCTCTTTCTCTACCTCAACAATGGGCAAGATGTGCTCAACTACCTAAAGTAAATCTCCCCATCCTATCAATTATTTTAGTACCTTATTCATTTGTAACAACTATAATCATTTTATTTGCTTCCTCCAGGTTTTTCTGTCTTTACCCCAAAATTTTAATTAATTAATTTAATTAATTTCTAGGAGAGTAGGAACTACATCTCTTTTTCATCATTTAATTTCTAGCAGTACATAGATTCCTAGCAGTAATACTGAATAAATAAGTGAATATTCTCTGACCAGTAACTTCTCAACTGAGTTCTTTGGAATTTGCAGCCCTCAAACAGGGTTCAATTAGTCATACTTTGATAGGCCCCTTAAGCGTATTCTCAATTATTTGTATCTTAATCAAATCACCAAAACAAGTAACTAGACATCATAAGGAGACACACCTACTCAAACAAACTTTCACAGCTCCTCAATTCTCAATTGTTCATCTCATTAGGTGGAACTGTATGAAACTTCCAGCCTACAAAAGCAGTAATTTCCATAGAATTCAACCTATTATAACACATAATTAAAGAAATGTGTATTCTATATGAATTAAGGCTTTAAAATTACATGAGAAGATACTCTTCAATTTGGGTTATTAAAAAGTGTGTCTCCCACTCTAGGTCCTACCCCTCAGTTGGTCTTGTTTTGCATATGCCTCACTGGGGAATCATCGAGGGGCTATTCCATTCATCCCACTTTTTCAGGACAAAAAGCACAAAGTGGGGGATGTATGTCAGGAGTTAGTTCTGAAGATCATCTAATCCACAGCTCTAAAACAAATAATTGCACAATACAGGAGTTCATAAATTGTATAAAAAGCATTTCAGTGACATTCATAATTTTTAAAAATACTATTAGACAAAGTGGAGAGGGGGAATATTGAGCTTTTTAATTTTACTCCAAAATATTTGATTCATTTAGAATTCAACTGAGTAGTCCAAGCCCAAATCCACTGCACAAACCTGCAGGTGAAGAAACCTGGACTCTGGGAACCGGTAAAATAAAACCCAGTGCTTAAGACAGTTACCAGAACCTTCTGGTAAGGTATGGATTTGTACTGCACTTACATTATCCTTAAAAACACTTTTTTCTGCCTAGATTTATTAATCATACTAAGTGTGAAATAGACAGAAGCTGATACTAGTTATTTACAGCTGTAAGATAGGCAAAGATAGGCACATGGCTAAGTGTCTTTCATCTCAAGGAGCCAAAAATAAATAAATAAATAAATAAGAACGAACAACCCATCCATATTTGCAGGCCAGTACCTTTTATATTTTCATTTTTTACATCTGTTTCAGATCTTGATTCATACCATTTTGTAATGTTGGTTATTACTCTTTCTTATGTGGGCATTAGAGGAAAATGGAATGTAGTCAAAATCATTCAGAAAATACTGGAAGTTAAACAGATGGGGCAGTCAACCTGTTTCAGTCAAATTCACTAAAACTTTGTAGAACTCTCAGAATCTTTAGTATAAATTAGAATGGGTTTTAATTTGACAACTGAATAATCTTATAGACACTTTTTCCAAAGGTCTGTTTTCTAATCCATGGACAGTAGGAAACTGCTGATAGTCTCAGGGACTGTATGGGGTTCTGGGGAAGGAAGGCATCATGAAGGGAAAAGCTTGCTTGTTCACCAAGGTAGAGCTGAACTGAACTAACCAGGGAGAGAAATGTGAGGGGAAGCACCAGATGGGTACCTTGAGGACAGGCACAAGGTGTATTTGGCCAGTACTAACACTGCTCAGGTGCTTCCCTTCCTGACCTGAAAGGAGAAGTTAGCAATGAACCTATCCCTTCTATGAGTGCCACTATGCACACCTTTAGATTCTTTTTAAAGCTGTTTAAAAATGGTTTGCTATGCCACTGTCACTCTCTATTTTGTTATAAGTAATTAGCAGTGGGATTTGGGCACTGGTGGTTTTTAAAAGCTTCTAAGGATTGATACCCAGTGTAGTTCAACTGGGCTTACAGTTGGACAGCACCTTGACTATTAATTACAATCTATATCAGAAACATCTGACAAGCTTCTGTTATGCCTTTTTGTAAGAATCATTCCAACCCCAGATCGGAGTGTGCAATACCACTGTATGAGGAAAATGGAGAATCTTGCATCCAGTTCTTACCAACTATTCTAATTTGGATTGATTGAAAACCACTTCCAAATGATATTTCCATCTCCTCTTCCCCTATAGACTGAGAGAAGAACTTGCTAAGATAACCCTAAGACTCAAACAGGATTGCACAATAGGAATTAGGAGAAACCTAGTCCAGACTTAGCAATTTGCAAAGGAGGGCCTAAGGCCCAGAGAGGTGAAGTGAGCTTCCCAAAATATCATAGCCAATTAGTGGCAAAATTAAGCTCTGGCTGTCTGCACTGTGTCTCTTTCTACCACACCAAGCTGCCTTCCTTACTTCCTTACATTTGTCAAAATAAGAACATCCCAACTTCACTGAGAAATCAGTGCTCTGAGGATGATCATTAAGGCAAAATATAATAAAAGTTATATAAAATCTAGGATAGAGGTGATATTTTCAAAGACTTTTGATCAGTGATAATTAAACTTTTAAAAGGAGAAATGTCATAATGAAGGTGTTTGCTTCTTAGACATGATAATTTGGAGATTCTTCTGATGAAACTATTTTTAAAGCTCCCTTCATATGACCCCACTCTGAGTTGGAGACATGGATTTTTCAGGTTTCTTGAGCTAACAGCTTCTGGTTCATGCTTTATTGTTATTGTTTCAATGTTATCTTCAAATCTCAACTTATTTACAAGCATAATTCATAACAGTCTTCAAAATATTCAGATAACATGACAAACAAGACAAAAAGGAAATATAACTCCATCTAACCTTAGCTCTTATACCCGTTATGGTTTGCAAAGGAGAAAACATCACCAACCTTAATCTCCCATTTTAAGTAACGAACATACTGTGTCCATGTGTGATGTCACTCCTAGAAGCCATTACTGTGACTCATATTTTGTTAATGCTGTGCAGCGATGGGAAAGTTCTATTAGGACTTTCGCCATAGCCACACATGCTGGTATTGTTACAAAATTAATTCATTTATGTATATCAGCTCTATAAAGGATGCATGGATAATCCCAATATGCAGATAAGAAAACTGAAGTGTATAATAGTTCCATAATTTTCCTAGGTCACACAATTAGTAACAGTCAACTGCTTAAGGGAGAAAAGTAGAATAGCCATGAGTCTTACTTCCATACCACCCCCTGACCAATCCCCCTGACCTATGTCCCAGCTGGGGTAGTAGTAGATAAACATTTGTAAGTCCCATATTTCATGGCAAACTCCATTTAAAATATTCCATTCTATTTTCAGAAGATAAGTCAGATGTCCCAAGTGGAGTTTTAAAAATAAGGCCATTGCAATAGCAGCAATGACAAATAGATTGCCAGGTGAAACAATTTATACCCTTCCACTATAGCCTATGGTTATTTAAGACATCCATGCACTCTTTTATAGTCTTCTTTTCAAAATTAGAGCCTAATTTCCCTTCCTGGAGTACTGGCTGGACTTAGTGAATGACTGGAACATGGTGGAAGTGACAATGATGACTTCTCAGTCTAGGTCATAGAAGAAACCGTGGTTTCCTCCTTGCTCTCCTCTCTTGGATCTCTCACGCTGGGAGAAGCCAGCTGCCATGCCATAAAGATATTCAAGGAGCCCTGTGGAGGGTTCCATGTGGACAGGAGCTGAGGTCTTCTGCCATCCTGGAAGTGAGTCCATCAGATGCAGTCAAGCCTTCAGATGACTATAGCTGACAATCTAATTGTAGCCTCACAAAAATCACTGATCTTTTACCACTTAGCTAAGCCAATCTTCAATTCATGAATTTCAGGAATTAAAAAAAACATATTTATTGTTTCAAGCACTTAAGTTTTGGGGTAATTTGTTATGAAGAAATAGATAACACACACTTATCCTTCAATATGCCTTTAATTATAATAAAGTAAAAAAAGCTGAACCATGGCTACAAAGGCTGCCATATCAATAAGACAAATATTCTCCTTGGTCCAGTCTCACTTAGAACATACCCAGAAGGAAGGATGACTAGAGGGTGTTCTCAAGGCCATGCCCCTTCTCAAAAGGGTAATGTAAGATGGTTCCTCCACCTGTTATATCATGCCCCATATGGGCCATGGGAGACGAAGGTGAGGATCAGACTGATTAAAAAAAAAAAAAGAGCAAAGTTGTTACCTATAACTTAAGAGCACTGTCTTAAAACGTCCAGCTTCTGTGTGATGATAACCATCACTCTGTGATAACATCCTGTATCAAAAAGTTCTACATATCAGCAACTAAATAAAGAATGTATCCTTTAAGAGCAGGAAGCCAATTATTTCTTTATTTTCCCACATCAAACTGAAGGCATGTTGTAAATGATGTAGTAGATTCATTGAGCTTAAAGAGTAAAAACCTCCCTCTGGAAGAGTGACTGTTGCCATATGAGGCGTTAAGTGCCCCTGAGCCCTGGATATCTCAAAAACAGCGAACCAAAGTGAAATGTCAACGCTGCTCAAACATAATGAGACTAAAACACATCCAGCCTCTTGTCAATCAAAAGACATTTTTTTTCTTCAGGCATTAGTCAGAGGAAACAACGCAGACATCTAAAAAGCTAAGATGACAGGAAGTAGTGGTCAGCCTTTCCCCATCTGCTCTTCAAACTCTAAGAAGAGCATTACTTTCATAAAGCTAATGTATTCTTTGCTAATGTCCATTCATCATGCCCACCACAGCGGCGGCTGAACAGCTCATGTGTGATTTCTTAATGGAGCTCATCCTGGAAACAGTGACACTCCCCCTCTGACCCAAACCACAGTGAGCTGTCAAGCTCAGGAGAAGTGAAACTATGCTTACCCTTTCCTTCTAGGATTCCAGTCTTCTCTTCAGAGTGCTTTCTTTTCCTTCATTGCTCCAGGCATGGAAGGCTTCCTATTGTTTCAAAATAGAGCTTCTTGTTGATGAAGAGGAAGAGGACAACCAAAAAATCAATAAATACCCCAACTGCAGACAAGAAGCCAATGGCTTCTGGAGGGACTGGCAAAAAACACAAAGGAAAGAAATATCATCACTATTAAAGTGAAACAATTTTAGTTCTAACAACTGATCAGAATTATTAGGAATCTTTATGTTTATTAGAGTGCAAATACTCTACAAGTCCTGCTCCTGCTGGCATCCCCAATGCCACGTCCAGGGGAAAGGAAGAGGCCGGTTGCCCGGTACATCCTGCTCAGATGGTTCCCCAGGGGGCTGACTTCCATACCTTCACACATGTGGTTTCTTCCACCTGGAGTATAGCTCCTCTTCCTCCTATTCTCAGCCTAATATTTCAACTTCAAGTACCCAAACTTATTAAGAGAAATACCCATCAAATGGATTGTGCTGGAAATGGTTGACCAGTGCCATAAAGGCAAGTCTTTTGAAAACACAGATGCCTAAAGCTTAAAAAGTAATAGCTTGAGACAAACTTTCAGACATAGACATTTATCATTATGAGCAATTGGAGGAAAAGTCATGTCATGGGTACATTTTTGCAAATCCAACTCTGCAATAGGATGGTGATGATGATTATCCATGGTGACAGATTCCAAATCCATGCCATCCATATAAGAAATTAGAATTTTATTTTGACTACTAAGATCTTAGAATTTGGGAACATGAAATTCCATCTTCCTCCTCTCTTCCTCATCAAAAATTCCTGAGCTTTAAGAGACTCTCATTAAGTACTGCTCAGTATGCCTTAAAGAGTCCCAGCCATCGAGTTCAGCTATCAGGGACACATAACAGACCAGAGCTAGTTCAGGAAAGATACCTCTAAGGATATGACATTTAATGAAGCCAAGATGACATTCAGTGAAGAAATCCAGAAATCAACTTGCATAAAGGAATTAATCGCAGAGCAGGTGCCAACAGGAGTTATTCAAGGTAGCTGGGTATATGTGAAAGCTTATGAAAATGAATCTCCTAGAAGCAACTTCAATCCTTGGAGCAGATTTAATATGTGGATTAATAATATGAAGGGATAATATTCACTTCACCCTACTACCCAGATAAACAGAGAAAGAATGACTCGAACCAGTCCTAACCCCATGAAAAGTTAAAGAAAATAAATGGTACTATCTCGCTGAATCAATTCAGTGGAAAGCCAATAAAAGAAAAAACAAAACAAAACACAACAGGCAAGATAATAGCTTTGTAGCCTGCAAAATGATAATAATGCCTGCTGTCAAAGCCAACATATACCATTAAAAAAACAGTATGCACATGCTGATTATTTCCTCGCCCTTAAGGGGCGGCACAGGGGCAGTGCTTACTGGCATGGGTTCAGCAGTCACACTGCCTGGGAGGAAATCACACTCTACCTCTTATTATCTGTCTGGCCTTGGGTGAGTTACTTAACCTCTCTGTGCTTCAGTTTCCTAGGCAATAAAAGAAGATAATAAATACAGCTACATCACAGATTAAATGAGGTTAACACATACAACAGAATCCGTGTGGTACCTGGCACATAGCCAGGAGTAACCATCTTCCTCAGCATCACCATCATCTTTATAGAGCTGTTAATATTGCTAGGAATAATCAAATATGGGATGGATGTGTTACTCTTTGCCCAGTCTGTGTTCCAGACTCCATCTCTTTCCCTTTTGTCAAGACAGTTATCTCTACTTTTTGTCCCCTCAGTCCTGTACTTTCAACTACTTCACTTTGTGCATCCACCAGCTTTCTCATCTGTATTAAAAATGCACCTTTGCCCATCCTTTAAAAGCCTCTCCTCACCACTATGTACTCCTCAACCAAAGCCCTCTCTCTTTTTCCTTTTGCAACCATCTTCAGAGTGTTCCCTACACTCATCTCTGCTCTTTTACCTCCGAAGTCACTAGCATCCTTCACCCAGACTCCCACAGATCTCCATCTGCCCAGCCTTACCCTCTCAAATACCATCTCTAGAAAGTAGCCAAAGTGATCTCTAGACAGCAGCTAAGGCCTGATTTATTCACCTGCCCTCCTGAAACCCTCTATAGTGGCTTGGAACCACAATTCATTTGGAACCGTAATGAATTACGGTTCCAAAAAGATACTTCCATCCTGAACCTAAAAATGTGACCTCTTTGGAAACAAAGTTCTTTGCAGATGTAATTAGGGTAGGATCCTGTGAGGACATCATCCTGGATTAGGGTAAAGCCCCATATTCAAAGGTAAGTGTCCCTATAAGAGACTGAAAAGGAGAAGACCCAGAGAAGAGGGCCATGAGAGGACAGGGCAGAGTCTGGAGTCACGAAGTCTCTGGCTGAGGAATACCAAGGTTGCCAGCAACCAGAAGCTAGGAAAGAGTCATGAAACATATCCTCCCTCAGAGATTCCAGAGGAAACTGGCACCTTGTTTTTAGATTCTGGAGTCCGAAACTGTGAGAGAATAAATTTCCATTGTTTTCAGCCATCAACTTGTGGTAATTTATCACAGTAACCCTATGAAACTAATACACCCTCCGATGGGTTTCCATTGCCTGTAAGACAAAATTTTAATTCTTAAACTTACTTTACAAGGCCTTACATGACATAGCTGTGGATCCCAGCCTTTATCACTCATCAAGGCCCAATATCAAACTCTTTGTTGCCAGTGTATCTACCAATTTCTGGGTGCCTACACATAACTCACCTCCAGACCTTTGGATGAGATAAATGCTCACCTCTCTTCCAGCTAACTCTGACACTGTATTCCCTCTGAAACCCTTTCTTGTCTCTCTTGACCAGGCTGGATGCTTCTACCATGTGTTTCCACCCACCAAGACCTTGACAGCTTTTTCAACACTTTTCAAATGTTAAATTTTAAACATCATAAGAACAAGGACTATGCCTCAGTTACTCATTGTACTCTCAACAGGGTAGACACTCAACAGGGTAACATAGGGTAGACAATAAATATTTGATGGTTGAATAAATTTTGAATTCATCTGTGTTACAACACATTAATAAATGTACCTATCAATGAAAACTTCAAGAAAGAAAAAGTATACCTCAAGTGGGTTGGTAACACTAACAAAACAGGATATGCATTACGTAAGATCTGGTCTTAGGAAAAAGACAGTTCTATTACTCTAAAGCAGAAATACTTGCACCTAGTAATGCCATTCAATGAAACTAAATTTTTATTTTTGAATAAAGCATATTTTTCCATCATAAAGCATCATGATGCTTATTACATAAAACTTGTAAAATATACAGAAAGATAAAGACAACCACTGTTAAAAATTTGTGCACTTTCTTCCACTCATTTTAACTACTTGGCCAACACTAAATTGTCTGTATTAACTTTACCTTTTCTGTCTGGTAAAATATTTTTATAAGATAAAAAATTCTTATTTTTGGTGATATTAAAGAAAAAATAAGTAATCTGTGCATGTAGTATAATATTTTTTAAATGATTATGTTGAATTTCACCACCCATCATTGTTAACATTTTGGCTTTGTTTTTTCTTACAATTTGTTTCTTAACAATTATTTTATATCATTGAAATACCATTTCATATGCAGATATTAGTGCAGTTAACATAAAAACATTCACAGATTCCAGATTGAAAACAATATGAAGAGATTATTCAATATAATCTCCAAAGGTACAAGAAAAAATGGGGGAGAAAGAGCCCTTGTGTTTTCAAAATAACTCTGCTTTTTGAAAATGGAAATATTTTTGTTAGTAATAATTCTCATAGCAATGACTTAACCATGGATAGCTATAAAATTCTTGGGTATTTGCCAATATTTTTTCTCCTCAAAATTAGGTATACATTAATTATTGTTACCTTTTAATCTTTAATGATCCATAAATGAGTGTGATGTTGTGGGTGTATTTTGTTGATTTTTCCTGGAACCTAGACTTCCAACATATCAATGCCTTTTTTTAAGCTTGGGGAGTTTTCTTCAAATATGTCTTTGATAGTTTCTTCTTCTGTTATAACTGTTCTTTTTTCTATCTTAAACTGGGTTACTATTTTTTTGGCTACCAACTTTTTCTTTTTTCCCTCTGCATTCTGACAGATTTTCTTAAATATGGCCTGCATGTTTTCATTCAGCTAAATAGGTGAAAGTGTGCTCTTAACCACTACACTATACTCACTACTATAAACCCTGAATATCTGAGTCAGTGGTAGACAGTGGAGGAAGATACTGTCTTACTCTCTCCTTTCAAGGTGAATGGTGGAGAACACTAGGAGTAAATAAAACCCAGCCAAAACAGACAGAAAGCTTAGTTTGGCAAGTATGGTTATTTCAACAGAGTTCATGTTCCTTCCAGAATCTATCAATTCCAATTTCATCCTTTTCTATGTGTTTATGGGTACTTACTGGGAAGCCTGAAGGGATGCATGAGGCTGCTAACCAAATGCTATATTAAACTTCCGGTTAGCCCTACATGAGTACAGTATCAAAGAAATGACTAAGAAGTTGACAGTGACCCTAGACCTGAAGAACAGCTTAACTAGAGTTGTACACAAACTGCCCTCTTTAAAAGTGGTTTAAAATTCCAAACATAACCCAGAAATTTCACTTCTAGTATGTGTCCAAGAGATTTAAAAATACATGTTCACATAAAAACATAGATATGAGTGCTCATAACAGTACAACAGATTATAGCCCAAAAGTGGAAATAGCCCAAATGTCCATCAACTGATAAATAGGTAAATAAAATGTATTATATCCAATGGAATACTCTTCTGCAATTTAAAAAATGAAGTACTTATACATCCTACAACATGGATGAACCTTGAAAACACTATGCTAATTGAAGGAAGTCAGACGCAAAAGGCCACACACTAGATGATTCCATTTATAGGAAATGTCCAGAATAGCAAATTCACAGAGACAGAAAGTTGTTCTCAGGGGCTGGGAGGAGGGTGAAATGAAGAGTAACTGCAAATGGGTTTTCTATTTGAGGTAATGGAACTATCCTGGAATTGGATAGTAATGATGGTTGTACAGCTTGGTGAATATACTAAAAAAAACACTGAATTGCACACTTTAAGAGGGCGTGAATTTTATGG